TGGAAATGTTTTTAAATAGGCTTAAAATATTTATTGCTATTTGGGTGGATAAAAAACTAAGGGACAGAACCCACGTGGATTTATTTTTGCATAAGAAAAACATATCCTCTTCACATTACTGAAACAGATATATAACGGCTGAGACTGCTTTCTCGTTAGGGACAGGGCTCTATTTTTTTTTTTAAACAATATATGATAGAATTAGAACCCTGGAAAATGAATAATCAGAGATGCTACATTGGTGTTCATGAGATATTGTAACATCAGAGAACACATCTCCTGCCCCTCACCACTTGTGAAGTCCTATTAACAAGAGCAAGGTCTGGTAGAAAGAAAGAGACTTTTTATTCCAAGCTTAGCTGAGGGGAAGCAGGACAAGCTTCTGATTGAATGGGAAGTGCTTCCCCTTTCAGGGCAGTAGACAGGGTCTTTTAAAGGGATGTTGGCTTGAATGGCATGCAGGGGGTGAGGAGATGGGGGGTCCAGTGACTTGCTTCTGATGTGTTTTCTATCCAGTGGTCTGGCTGGCACCGTCTCAGGCAGAGTTTGGTTGTAAATTGAGGCAAGCTCCTAGTGGGAGGGAGTTTTGGGGGTGCCTGATTTTCTTCAAGGCTCCTTCTCTAGAACTTTTAAGTAAACACAAAGTCATATAAGCTTGCCTTGTAGAACGTGTCTGGTGGAGAGTGTAAAGGATAGATTTCCATTCCTAAACGGTTAAGCAGAAGGTAGGGGGAGATTGGAAAAATAAATTTGTTACATTTCTTTTTTAAAAATAGGGTACTCAGTTACAACATGGCATCACATATGAGATCTGATGTGCCATTTAATATTCTGATGTATGTCACTTTTCTTCTTTTTAAAATTAGGATAATAACTCTCACAGAAAGTTTATCATTGACTGCCCTATATAAAATACAAATAATAGAAATGTTTGGAATGTTAATTGTGTTAGTAATTTCAAATGGTACATGTTCTAATTGCCAATACTTAAACTACTAATGTAAATTACAAACTGTTGCATCAGTCTTAATGCTGGTCTCATCTTGTTTCCAAATGATACATATAAAAAATAATTTGTCCTTCTAAATTGTCCTTCACAAATAAGCAGAGGTCATAAAATAATTGAAAATAAATTGCTCTGTAGTGGCTCAGAAACTTGCCAGAATTTTCTTAAAATGTATTTGGACATCCAAATATGAAATAATTTCAGTACATTTAAATGTTTTTATTATTTTTATTTCTTATTTCATACAAGAGATACTACATATTATCTCATGTATTAAATATATATAAGATAAACTGCACCATTTAAACTATTTTAACTGTTCAGGTCTGTGGCACTAAGTATATTTATATTGTTCTGCAACCATCCCCACCATTCACCTCCAGAATAGTTTCATTGTCTCCAACTAAAATTTTGTTCTCTACACAGTTATTCTCCTTGACTCCCTTCCCCCATCCCCCGGGGTCCAGCATTCCACTTTCTGTCTCTGTGAATTTGACTACTCTGGGTACTTCATGAAAGTAAATTCATGCAATATTTGCCTGTTTCTGGCTTATTTCACTTTGCATAATGTAATCAAGTTTCGTCTATGTTGTGGCATATGTCAAAATTTCTTTCATTTTAAAAACTGAATAATATTCCATTGTATGTACTCACTACATTTTTTATTGATTTCTCTGTGGATGGACACTGACGTTGTCTCTGCCACTGGGGTGTTATGAATACTGCTGCTGTGAACGTGGGCATAAAAGTAGATTTTTGTGTGTCTCGTTTCTTTGAGTTCATGTTCAGAAGTGAAATAGTTGGAACCTATACTAATTCTGTTTAATTTTTGAAGAAATTACTATACAGATGGTCCAGAAACACAATAATTTGACCATTTTTTGTCTTTACTATGCATTTATAAAAACATAAAACTCTATTGTAAGTCAAGGAGCATCTGAAATTACAATGGTTTGACTTAAACAATATTTTAACATTGAGATGACTTTTTCACGATAGTAAATGTCTATTTTACTTACAATATTTTCAACTCATAATGGGTTTTTCAGGATGAAACCCATCATAAATCGAGAAGCCTCTCAATCATTTTCCACAGAGTCTGTACAATCTCATTTTGCCGCTGACTATACTTTCATGGTTTTACCTCTTACACTTAGGTCTTTGATTTATTTTGACTTAATTTTTCTATATGGTGTAAAATGAGCATCCAATTTCAACATTTCGAATGTAGATATCTAGTTTTTCAAACTCTGTTTATTGAAAAGACTGTCCTTTCCACATTGAGTAAACTTGGTTTGCTTGCCAAAAAAAATACTGCTGTGTATATGACAGTCTATTTCTTGACTCTGTTACTCTGTTTCCTCTTTCTTCTTCTTGTCCTTCCTTTTTTTTTGAAACAGGGTCTCACTCTGTCACACAGCTTGGAATGTGCTGGTGTGATCTTGGCTCACTGCAACCTCTGCCTCCTGGGCTCAAGCAACCCTCCCACCTCAAGACCCCAAGTAGATGGGACTACTGGTGCGAGCCACCACACCTGGCTAATTTTTTTTTTTTTTTTTGTAGAGACAGAATTTTACCATGTTTCACTGGCTGGTCTCGATGTTCTGAGCTCAAAAAATCTGCCTGCCTCAACCTCCTGAAGTGCTGGGATTACAGGTGTGAGCCACCACACCTGTCCTCTCTTTCTTCTATTGGTATACATGTCTGGCTTTATACCAATGCCATACTGTTTTGATTTCTGTAGTTTTTGGAATTGGAAAAATTCAAGAATGCCCATTCTCACCTCTTCAACATAGTATCTGAAGTCCTGGCTAGAGCCATCAGAAAGAGAAAGAAATAAAGTTATCCACATCAGTAAAGAGGAAGCCAAACTGTCCCTCTTTGCTGATTATATGATTGTTTACCTAGAAAACTCTAAAGCTTTCTCCAGAAAACTTCTAAAACTGATAAAATAATTCAGCAAAATTTCATGATACAAAATTAATGTACACAAATCAGCTGCAAATATTAAACCACTTAGGAATATACCTAACCAAGGAGGTAAGAGAACTCTGTAAGGAAAACTACAAAACACTGCTGAAAGAAATCATAGACGAAACAAACCTATGGAAACACATATCATGCTAACGGATAGGTAGAATTATTGTATCTTTAATTTCCAAGAGTCGTTTATTGTTGCTTTTCACATCCTTGTATATAGCAAATGATATTTATTTGGTGGATTTTATAACATATCATAGACATCTTCATTCCTGAAGATAGGAATTCTTAATTTTAAAAACTCATTCTTTTTGCAGGTTTGTGATAGTTTTAACTCAGTGTGCATATATGTGTATTGATCCTTAAGTGAGTGTGCATCTTTGTGTGTGCGTGTATAGATGTGAGTTTGCACACTGTGTGGCTCTTACTCTTTCATATTGTTACACTTCCTCAAAGGTCTGCTGACTTTTGGCTCTAAAATATTTTTCAAGCCTAAAAACTTCATTCCTCTTATGCATTCTGTGCAAAGTTGTCCACTGATGTCTTCTATCTGGAGAAGAATGCTCGAACCACCTCTACCCAGAAAACTGTCAGGTTGCTGTTTCCTTTTTTCCATTTCAGTGGATGGTCATTTCTCCAAATCCTGTCTTTTGAAGACATAAAGTGATTTATTGTCTTTGCTTCCCTAATGCTTAGATTACATTACACTTTATGGATCCTTCCAAAAAATTGATAAATATAATCCCTTCATATGAATGGGAGGATCCATAAAGTCTACGTAATCTAAGCATGAGGGAAGCAAAGACACAGAATATACATCATATCTAGGGAGACCTTGAGCAGAGACATGGAAGCTAAAATGAACTTGGCATATAGATATTGAGATAGAGTGTCTACATTAACTTGAGAATTCAGAAATTGGATGAGGAGGCAAAAGAAAATGGACATTTGATGGTGGTGGACATTCAAAATCAAGGCTATGAATTACATTTCATGAAAAAGGTACTTAAAATAACAATTCATTCTACATTTTCAAATAGAAGAACCAAATAATGATGTCTGACTTTGAGAAAGTTTGGCTTGGAATTATGCAAAGACAATTCAAGAAGGAAACATAAGTTTCTCCAAATGAGTCATAGGATACAGCAGTTTCAGAAGTAAGTCTTAAAGAATAAATTTAGAAAAACCAATCATCCAGAAAAAGTAATGCTAATTTATTCATAATACAGATCCATAGCATATGCATTTAATTTACCTTTCCATGTGTATGTTTTAAGCATAGCATATGATCTTAATGGCATCTGAGTTTGTGTTGGGCATCAAACATTCATATCCTTTTGAAGTTGTAAGACAAATGATTTTTCCTATAAATGTATATATTTCTTAGAAAAAATTTTGGTTATAAATATTTGTCTCATCAAATATTAATCTCTGGATAGAAAATACGATTATTTTCTAAAAGGAAAGATTAGTTCATCATTTAAGAGTTATAAAATTGTATAAGTAATTCACAGTCTAACTAAAGTAAGGATTTTTAAAAACAATTGGCTTACTATTCTGTAAGTAGTCCCCTCTTATCCACTGTTTTTCTTTCCATGGTTTCTCCTGTGATCAAATGCGGTCTGACAATATTGCATGGAAAAGTCCACAAATGAACAGTTCATAAATTTTAAATTGGTTTTCAATCATAGCCCAATGTTGCATCACAGTGCCTACATTATTCCCCTCACTGTATCTCATCATGTAGACATTTTGTCTTCCCATGAAGCATTTTGTCATCACAAGAAAAATGAACACTTTTTCAATAAGATGGTTTGAAAGAAAAATACAGATTGCATTCACATAAGTTTTATTACATTATATAGTTATAATTTTTCTATTTTATTTGTAGTGATTTTTGTTAATCTCTTCCTTGCCTAATTTATAAATTAAAGTGTATAATACATATTTATGGATATAAAAATAGTGTATATAGGGTTCAGTATCAACTCCAGTTTCAGGCACCCACTGGGGGTCTTGGAATGCACTGCTGTGGATAAAAGTGAATTACTGTACTTAATTTACCCTTGTGTCTCCCTTCAGGATGGATTGTAGGAATGCCCTATGGAAAATTACAATCAAACATCAACTGATTTCATCTTGTTGGGGCTGTTCCCACCATCAAGAATTGGCCTTTTCCTCTTCATCCTCATTGTTCTCATTTTCCTAATGGCTCTAATTGGAAACCTATCCATGATTCTTCTCATCTTTTTGGACACCCATCTCCACACACCCATGTATTTCCTACTTAGTCAGCTCTCACTCATTGACCTAAATTACATCTCTACCATTGTTCCTAAGATGGTTTCTGATTTTCTGTATGGAAACATGTCTATCTCCTTCATTGGATGTGGGATTCAGAGTTTCTTCTTCTTGACTTTAGCAGTTGCAGAAGCGCTACTCCTGACATCAATGGCCTACGATCGTTATGTGGCTATTTCCTTTCCTCTCCACTATCCCATCCGTATGAGCAAAAGAGTATGTGTGCTGATGATAACAGGATCTTGGATGATAGGCTCCATCAACTCTTGTGGTCACACGGTATATGCTCTCCATATCCCATATTGCAAGTCCAGAGCCATCAATCATTTTTTCTGTGATGTTCCAGCTATGTTGACCCTAGCCTGCACGGATACCTGGGTCTATGAGTGCACAGTGTTTTTGAGCAGCACCATCTTTCTTGTGTTTCCTTTCATTGGTATTATGTGTTCCTATGGCCGAATTCTCCTCGCTGTCTACCGCATGCACTCTGCAGAAGGGAGGAAGAAGGCCTATTCGACCTGCAGCACCCACCTCACTGTAGTGACTTTCTACTATGCACCCTTTGCTTATACCTATCTACGTCCAAGATCCCTGCGATCTCCAACAGAGGACAAAGTTCTGGCTGTCTTCTACACCATCCTCACCCCAGTGCTCAACCCCATCATCTACAGCCTGAGAAACAAGGAGGTGATGGGGGCCCTGACACAAATGATTCAGAAAATCTTCTCCATGAAAATATAGAGAAACGTTCTGTCTTAGAGTCAAAGCACAAGGTTCATATCAACTTAGCCATGTACAGCAGTGAAGAAAAACATTATTACATGCCCAGTGTATCAAACAGAGATTAATCTAGAACATTTGTCTTTTAATTTAGTCTTGACCACATTATAATGCATATTCTAAGACATCTATTTTTGATTTTGTTTGTGTGTTTTTTTGGTTTCTTTATTTGTTTGTTTTTAATGGGTTTTGGCTCTTGTTTCTCAGGCTTGAGTGCAATGGCGCAATCTCAGCTCACCACAACTTCCGCCTCCCGGGCTCAAGCAACTCTCCTGCCTAAACTCCTGAGTCAGTTGGGATTACAGGCATGAGCCACCACGCCCTGCTTTTTTTTTTTTTTTTTTAATCAAATATAGGTCATATATTTTCTACCAAATGTGGGCAACAGGGTTTCATTAACATGTAGAAATCAAAACAATAAAGATCCAAACTAATCATATTATTCAGCATAATAATTATATAATAGTTGTTAATCTCCTTATTATTAAAAGACAAATATAACAAATTATTTACGATCACTGAATCTCATTGAATATCAAGTAGTCTTTATTTACTCTCAACTGGTGTGTATGTCTTCTTTTTCCTAATGTTTTACTAATAAGTTTACCTGAGGATAAATAATTATGTTTGCGGAGCAGCCAGTTTGGCTTTAGAAAAACAAGAGTTTCTCTATAAGAAATTCTATAGAAGTTACAGTCTATAGACCCTCTTAGACTATAATTGACTTAGTTGATTGTAGAGTAGGTTATTTGAACCATTCCCCAGTCACATCACAACACACTCAAGATTTGCCTCCTCTGTAGCCATGGGTATTTTCGTACAAGACATTGTCTTCTGTACAATTTTATTTCCACTTACTCTTCTCATAAATCAACAGGACTATTCAGCTTGAATTGGGATCAGCTTCTCTGCTCCACTATTTTTATACCTGCTTAGGCATGTGCCTAAAAGGATCACCATTATTTCATAAAGGTTACCTGCTTAGGTCCATTCTCTGAGTGAAAGGCCATTGCTCTCCAGAAGAGCCCATTCCTGAGAAACTCTTTTGTCTTTGAGGAGAAGAGGCAAGAAGGAAGGTAGAATGAGCAAGTAAGAAGAGCCTCATATTATCCAAGTGATAGCAGTGGTGAATGACTGATATGCAGTTGGTCCTTGAGAAACACAGATTTGAACTGTGCAGGTCCACTTACTTGTGGATTTTGTTCTGCCTCCACCACTCCTGAGACAAGAAGAACAACCTCTCCTCCTCTTCCTCCTCCTCAGCCCACTCAACGTGAAGACAACAATGATGAAGAACTTTATGACAAACCTCTTTCCCTAAATAAATAGTAAACATATTTTCTCTTTCTGATGATTTTCTCAATAAGATATTCTTTTTCTAGCTCACTTTACTGTAAGAATAGAGTATATAAGACATATAAGATACAAAATATGAGTTAATTGAATGTTTATGTTATTTATAAGGCTTCCTGTCAACAGTAGGATATCAGTAGTTAAGTTTTGGGAAGTTCAAATTTATATGCATATTCTACTGCCTGGGGGTCAGTGACCCTAATTTCTATGTTGTCCTAGAGTCATCTGTATTACAATTGGAATAATCATTTTCAAACAAGAACATTAACATTTGAATAGGAGGTACAAATATGGATCTGGATATACTCATACCAATTAAGCATTTAAAGTTTACTGGAGTACTGAATAATTTACATTTTGACTTACAGAATGGCAAATGTATATGACTTTTCTTCTCCCCTAATTTAAATTAAGTAGAATTTTCTCATCATTAGGACTGCATGAGAATGTCATAATAATATGAGAAAGGGTAGTAGTTGCCTGATGTTGAAAGATTTTCCTAATGTCACATAAATAAAATAAAATAAAATAAAAGATAAGTACTTACCAAGCACTTACTCCACTGTGAGGGACACAGACAATCACATGTCACATAAAATGATGAGACAATATGGCAACTGCAAGTTAACTTAGGCCTTTTGTTCTTTTATTGTAATGAATACAACTAATCATAATATTTTATCAATCTTGTCCACATTAATATTTTAAAGCTCTCTTTCCCATATATTATAATCACCACCTTACTCCAGCTCCTCATCTTCTCTTCACTAAAGTTTTTCAAATTAAATCAAAATAGAATTTGAAATTTGATATTACTGGCTAAGATTCTTAACTAAAAACAACAAAATCAGTGTAATTTAAACTGAAAATACAGTATTTTTTTAAAAAGTGAAGCATTGCCAAATCTCCAAAAAAATGGACATGAGTAAGGTCTGAAAATCTGCCAGCATGAGCAGTTTCCAATGTGCTTGATAATGAGTTCTGTGAGGTCACGACTCTTGCTCCTTCTGGGTGCCATTCACAGCCCTACAAACTCAGTGAATTTGTTTCTGTGGTGTCTTTGTAGCCTTACAGGATTTGCACCTGCCCTGCTGCTTTGAGCTACCCATTCCCATGTTAAAATCTGGGATCAAAAAATCCAATGTAGACTCTCCACCTATATACTGTAGCCATAGCTGAAAGTCAGGTAGGGAAGTAAGTGTTTGAGTTCTAGCAGAGACAGTGAAATGTTTGCTCTCTGAGGCATGTCAAAAGAGAGTTCAGATACATAAAGAAGGGTAAATAAATTCTACACTATATGTTGAGCCAACAGTCTCACAGCCACAGTTTTATCTCTTTACATGGGCCAATATGAAGGAGATATAGAATATGTGAGAAGTTTGTTATATGCATGATACTTTGAGAAATATCCAGGGGAGAAGAAAAGAGTAGACATGATTTGTTTTGTATTTCTCAAGTAGGCTAACAAATTCCAGTGGCCCTATTTGGACAGACATTGAATGGAGTCTCAAGAGAGGCAGATAGACTTGACATGGAAGAAACTCTTCCATGAAGAGTGAAACTTGCTGCAAAGGGGTCCCGATCCAGACCCCAAAAGAAGGTTCGTGGAATTCGCGCCAGGAAGAATTCAGGGCAGGTCCGCAGGGCAAAGCAAAAACAAGTTTATTAAGAAGGAAAAGTGGTGAAAGAACAGCAATGCCATAGACAGAGTAGGGCATTCCCGAAAGTAAGAGGAGGAACGTGTCCACCCTAGGTACAATACTTGTTTAAATACAGAATAAAAAATATCATGGGAAGATGCGCTCTGCTACAAGGGTTTGTGTTAAAGGATTAATTTTCTTAATTAGTATATTTTTCAAGAATCAATATTATTATCTTTAAAGAAAAATTAAGAATGCCTTCGTTCTTAAGATATCGGGATATCTGGACACTCCCAAGTCTGGGTCTGTTTAGTAAACATTGTCAACCTGTTTCTTTAACTGTAAACATCTAGAGGCCAGAAATACCAAACTTTCTAGGAATCCCAAACTTTCTAGGAATCCCAATCTTTCTGGGAATGCAGCCCAGCAAGTCCCAGGCTAATTTTCCAGCCCTCCCTCAAGGTGGAGTCGCTGTGGTTCAAAAGCCTCTGACAAAACGAGTGGACAATAATTATGTTACCAAGATTGTAGCCTCCCAGTGCAAATCTCAGTTTCTCTTTTTTCTGTCCTTCAATCCAGACTGGCTTTCAGACACAAAAAGAAAAATACTACCTGATCTCACCTATATATTGGGCCTAAAAATAAACGGAATACATAGAAACAGAGAGTAGAACGGTGGTTGCTCAAAGTTAACTTGTCTAAGAAACGGACTCAGCACAGGATGCAGCGTCCTCATCTCCCTCTGTCATGACGTCGCCACCCACTTCTCCACCGATCAGCAAGCCCCACACTTTAGCTCATCACGCATCCAGACCCCTTAAAAATGCCATCCCGAAGCGTCTCCAGAAGGCTGATTTGAGGCTCCCTTTCTCTTCCTCCTTCAGCTGACCTATGATTATTAACTTTCTCTGCTGCAACCCCTGCTGTTTTGGTGTTTTGGTCTGATAACACTCCATGGGCAATTGAACCCTGTGGGCCTGTGACAGTCCTCCTGCCTCAGTCTCCCCATAGGTGGAATTACAGGCCTCTGCCACTGTCTCTTGCTCTTCTACAAAAGATTTGACATAAATGGTTATCATCTGAATCTTGTATCTTTGGGACATAGAATGGGGCTTCTTATTAAGTAAATATGATTATGAAATTAAAGATCTATGTGATTTCATGAATAATTCAAATATGCTGAACACAGACATTTAAAAATGTAAAATAAGCAGCTCAGTTTTATTTACGTTCCTCATTCTAATCTCTTCTTTCAGAATAACCAAGTTTTGACCTACTCTACGCTTGGTTTTGTGCTTTCTACTGGAGAAGTGTGAAATAGTCAGTTCCTGCTTCCAGAACACGCTCAGGGAGATCTGGGGTATTTCAAGAGGACGTTGCTGACTCACATCCACCATATTTGCGTACTTGACCCTAGTGGGTAGTTTTCAGGTAAACCTAAAAGTCTTTCCTTTCACAGAAATTCCCTTGAAGTCTGTCTTACCACATCAAATAAGGAGTGTTACCTCCTCTTTCAGCACAAATAAGTTTTGTCTTCTGTCTTTTGAAGATGTTAAAACAGTTCCCTGCTTGCACTAGATATGGCTCCTACTATTATGTTAAAAGTCATGGTTGTAAACTTAACAAAGGAATTCTTCAGCTTTTCAAATGCAGGAATATTGAAACATCTGCACATTTTGACTTTCAGGAAATTGTCTTTGCCAGGACTGTACACTAACTATGCTGATTGGATAATTATAATACATATACATGCATCAGTAAATTAAATTGTCTGGTCGGAGTGTAGTGGTGTTTACAACTAATTGATCACAACCAGTTACAGGTTTCTTGGTTCTTTCTCCACTCCCACTGCTTCACCTGACTAGCCTATACATATCAAAATATATATCACAATAAATATAAGACAAAATATATATCAATATATGTCAAAGTATAATTTATCAATTAATACATGTTTTAAAAAATATTTTTAAAACTCAAAAAAATTAAAACGAACCAATATCACTTTTCTCAGGTAGATGGTATAATTAATTCATTTGCTAGAAACCATAAGAAATTTGA